AACAATGGCTTCAAACTACAAGAGAGGAGATTCCATCTGAACATGAGGAAGAACTTCCTGACTGTGAGAGCCGTTCAGCAGTGAACTCTCTGCCCCGGAGTGTGGTGGAGGCTCCTTCTTTGGAAGCTTTTAAACAGAGGCTGGATGGCCATCTGTCAGGGGTGATTTGAATGCAATATTCCTGCTTCTCGGCAGAATGGGGTTGGACTGGATGGCCCATGAGGTCTCTTCCAACTCTTTGATTCTATGATTCTATGAAGATCAAGGTGTGTTCTGTCGCCACTGGGCCTGTACACAATGTCTTTATTCTATAGGACACACACTTTAAACCCAGTGGGAAGCCAGGGTGCCCGAAGAGAGATTGTTAGAGACTTCCAGAAGTAATGGGCTTTAGAGTTCTTTAAAAGTACAACAAAGTCTTTATTAAGGAACAAATCTTCAAACAATTTCAAGGCTTTACCATTCAAGTCTTTAAGAGACTGGCACTAACTTGGTTTGACTGTACTATCTCAGCATAAGGAAGAACTCTTTATAATCCCTCCCAGGCCGCTTTCTATCTATGCCTAGTCGGCGTGGGTGCTGCTACCGAAATCCACGTGCGTCTGGGTATCGAGCAGACCTTACCGGCTGAGGCTTGAAGATATAGCAGCTGGAATTCCGTGGTTCTACGATGCTGTCTAGTGGGAACTTCAGGTCTGTTTTCCCCTCTGGTGCTGTGAGGCTGAGAAGCTGTGAGCTCTCAGCCAGAGCCTTTGGGACCTCCTCTGCAGGAGTCTACCGTATACCATGCAGCTGTGGACAAGTCTACATAGGGACCACCAAACGCAGCGCCCAAACACGAATCAAGGAACATGAAAGGCACTGCAGACTACTTCAACCAGAGAAGTCAGCCATAGCAGAGCACCTGATGAACCAACCTGGACACAGCATATTATTTGAGAACACAGAAATGCTGGACCACTCTCAACAACCACCATGTCAGACTACACAGAGAAGCCATTGAAATGCACAAGCATGTGGACAATTTCAACAGAAAGGAGGAAACCATGAAAATGAACAAAATCTGGCTACCAGTATTAAAAAACTCTAAAATTACAACAGCAAAACAGCAGAGAGGAAACAACCAGGCACATCTTAACACCTCTCAACAAGAGATTTTCCCAGGCTCAGGCAGGCTTTCAAATGCTAATGAAGGTGGTCAGTTGAAACATTCACACCTAGCTCCAGCAGAGAAGAGCTCTTGCCCCACCCCAGCCATTCCACAGATATATAAACCCATTTTTCCTACTTCCAACAGACCTCACTACCTCTGAGGATGCTTGCCATAGATGCAGGCGAAAAGTCAGGAGAAATGCCTCTAGAACATGGCTCTATAGCCCGAAAAAACCCACAAGAACCTAGTGATTCCAGCCATGAAAGCCTTCGACAATACTTTTCCTTCCGTTTCCCTGGAACTGGATAGTCAGTTTGGACCCCGGATGGTCTTGAGGAATGAAGCCTTTTCTACGGGACAAACTGATTTGCGTCCTATAGGCTGGCTTCCTTGTGAGTGACTGCCTGAAAAATGGCCCCTTCCCTCCAAAAAACCCAGAGAGGGGCGGGACCAGGGATCCTAACTATTATTGACAGGTGGCTTGCCCTATGAATGCAGCCAAAGGAAGCCACCTATCTGCAAAGTCCCTGCAACTTAGGACTATGAACAAACACTCAGTGCAAAACACAAAATTGGAGCCCCTGGAACAGCCGTTCCAGAACAAGGTGAAAGAAGAAAATGCAAAAGCTGAGTTGCAGTTAAACATCAAAAAAAAAAATAAGATTATGGCAACAAGACTGATTGACAACTGGGAAATAGAGGGAGAAAACGTGGAGGCTGTGACAGACTTTGTATTTCAAGGTGCAAAGATGAGTGCAGATGCAGACTGCAGCCAGGAAATCAGAAGACATTTTTTCGTTGGGAGGAGAGCAATGACCAATCTTGATAAAATAATGAAGAGTAGAGACATCACACTGGCAACGAAGATCCGCATAGTCAAAGCAATGGTATTCCCCGTAGTCACCTACGGAAGTGAGAGCTGGACCATAAGGAAGGCTGAGCGAAGGAAGAAAACAGTATTTTGGTGCCCCCCGCCCCCAAACAATCATTGATATGGAGCAGGGACGAGAGGGGCTAGGCGAGGCTCAAAGGCCCGGCCCCTTCTGGAAGAGCATCGCCCGGCAGTGAGGCAAGGAAGCCGAGGCTCCCCCGGAATGCTAGGGCTGTTGTGAGCCGAAGGGGTGCTCCTCAAGTAGCGGTCGAGGAGCATTTACAGAGGTGCCTCTGCACCCCTGGCAAAAGAAAATGTACCGCAACCGCTTACTTTGCTTAATGGACGAGCCGCCCCTGGCTGGACCATAAGGAAGGCTGAGCAAAGGAAGATAGATGCTTTTGAACTGTGGTGTTGGAGGAAAATTCTGAGAGTGCCTTGGACTGCAAGAAGATCCAACCAGTCCATACTCAAGAAATAAAGCCCAACTGCTCATTGGAGGGAAGGAGATTAGAGGCAAAGATGAAGAACTTTGGCCACATCAGGAAAGCTTAGAGAAGACAGTGATGCTGGGGAAAATGGAAGGAAAAACTTTTATGTAAAGACTTTTTGTATATACTTCAGAATTCAATATTAATGTCAAAAATACGTAGTATGATTTTACATAGGATTTGTGCTACATTAGAACAGGCAAGACAAATATCACTTAAGTAAAATAAACATTAAATATTAAATAACCAGCTCCACTGGCTGCCAGTTTGCTACCGGGCTCCATTCAAAGTGCTGGCTTTAGCCTATAAAGCCCTAAGCCAGTGGTTCACAACCTGGGGTCCCCAGATGTTTTTGGCCTTCAACTCCCAGAATTCCTAACAGCTGGTAAACTGGCTGGGATTTCTGGGAGTTGTAAGCCAAAAACATCTGGGGACCCCAGGTTGAGAATCACTGCCCTAAATGGTTCTGGCCCAGTTATCTATCCGAACGCATCTCTTCTTACAAACCCTCCAGGAATTTGAGATTTTCCGAGGAGGCCCTGCTCTCGATCCCACCTGCTTCGCAAGTATGTCTGGCGGGGATGAGAGACAGCGCCTTCTCTGTGGTGGCCCCTTGGGTGTGGAACTCCCTGCCTAGGGATATTAGATTAGCCCCTTCCATCCTGACCTTTCGGAAAAGAGTAAAGCATTTGGAACCTCTGAATAAATAGACAAACTTGAATTGGAAAATGACCCAGGAACGGCCCAAGACGATGGAACGGATAAGGACTTGAATGAGAGGATATAGTTTTTAGCTTTTAATATTGTTATTATGCACTGTCTTATGTCTAATTGCACTATAATGGTTCTTTTGCTTATCAATGTATGTATTTTTATGGCATCGAATTGTGCCAATTGTGTACGCCGCTCTGAGTCGCCTTCGGGCTGATATGCGTGGGGTAGAAATAATGCAAATAAATAAATAAAAAGGAAGAGGGGCTGACCAAGGTTAAGATGGATGGATGGCATCCTTGAAGTGATTGGATTGACCTTGAAGGAGCTGGGGGTGGTGACGGCTGACAGGGAGCCCTGGCGTGTGCTGGTCCATGAGGTCTCAAAGGGTCGGAAATTACTGAACAAATAAACAATAACATATGTATGTATGAAAGAGTAAGGAGGAAAGAGAGAAAAACACAAAGGAGGAAAGAGAAACACAAATTCCATGGTTTTCCATAAATGCAACTGGAGCCCCTCCCTTATCATGTTTACAAATCTAGGAACCTGCTTATTGGAAATCACATTTTAGCGCCTGAGGCCCCATCTACCCTGCCATATAATCGAGTCTCCAAATTCAGATTATCTGCTTTGAACTGTATTATCTGACAGTGTAAACTCATATTATCAAGTTCAAAGCAGATCATCTGGATTCTGAAACTGGGTGAAAGGCAGTCCCCAAGTTACAAATATCCGATTTACAAAGGACTCATAGTTAAAAATGAGTGTGAGGCTACAGGAAGTGAGAGAAATCTACCCCTTGGAAGGGAAATTCACTCCTAAATGAGTTGTTATCACGTTGAAAAGGTGGAGCCACAATGGTGCAATGGGTTAACTTACTTAGGCGATCCCTCGTAGTCCAAGGATGATGGTCTCCAAGTGTAGTGTCCTGGCAGTGGGTCCGTAGGTGACTGTGGAGCCCTATTCTTGATCTGCATCTTCTCCCGCAGTGAGGGCATTGATTTCCATTGGGAGGGAATTCCATAGCCGAGGCGCCACCACAGAGAAGGCCCTGTCTCTCGTCCCCACCAAGCACGATTGCGATGGTTGAAGGACTGAGAGCAGCCCCCCCCCCCCACAACGATCTTAATGTCTTAGATGCTCTAAAACGGGAGATAAGGGAGATTATTTATTTATTTATTTATTTACAGTATTTACATTCCACCCTTCTCACCACGCAGGGGATTCAGGGCAGATTACAATGTACATATACATGGCAAACATTCAATGCCATAGACACGCAACATATATAGACAGACATACAGAGGCCATTTAACATTCCAGCTTCATGAGGATATTCTGGCCACCAGGGGTGCTGTCGCTTCACTGTCCATTTGTGACACTGATGGAGTACTTCCTCATTCTTTGCATGCTTGCTGGAGATTTTTATGGTGCTGTAAATTAGTTAAATTAACTTCCCGCATACGCGGTATCTAAATTTCCTACTTGAGAGATGCAACTGTCTTTCGGGCTGCAAAGGTTGACAGCAAGCTATACATATTGGTCAGAAGCTCACTCTGACCCAGGCTGGCTTCGAACTCATGACCTTTCAGTCAGTAGTGTTCTTAATGCAGCTGACTCCCAGCCAACTGTGCCACAGTCCAGGAACCGATCTCCACAGTTACTTGATGTGAAATTTGCATGACGTTATTTTGTGCTTGACTTGAGTGCCATCTTTTCCCAAATGATTACAACTATCTGCTCTTCCTTGGTTTTGACATGTTCTTTCTAGCAACACCCTGCATCAAGGCCATCAGTCCAAGTGAAGGCTGGACCACAGGTGGAGCCATGGTGATCATCATAGGAGACAACTTCTTCGATGGGCTACAAGTCGTATTTGGGACCATGTTGGTATGGAGCGAGGTAGGCAAGGTGTCATAATACTTACAATGAATCAAGCTGTCTTCCTTGAGAAAGTATGCTAGGATTTATTTGTACTGTTATTATTTGATAGAGAGTAAGCATCAGAGCATGTCTATGCAATGCACCATACAAAATCCGGAAATGAAAACAATTGAGAATTACACACATTTCCCACTGGAAAGGGAATCGGGCAGTTCAATAGCATTCTTAATGATAGCAGTATCAGAAGGGAACAGAATTTCAATCACATTCTTAATATGAAATCATTATTTCCAATATTTTGTTTGGGGGTACCAGGAGGTAACCTAAATAATTTTGAATGTACCCACTTTTTCTATCATGACCTCCTTATCCATAGATATCAACAGGTTCATTATCCATGCTCCAAAACATATTTATTTATTACTAGCTATCCCCTGCCACGCGTTGCTGTGGCCCACATGGGGGTTCTGTGTGGGAGGTTTGGCCCAATTTCATTGTTGGTGGGGTTCAGAATGCTCTGTGATTGTAGGTGAACTATAAATCCCAGCAACTACAACTCCCAAATGTCAAGATTCTATTTTCCCCAAACTCCACCAGTGTTCACATTTGGGCATATTGAGTATTCGTGTAGAGTTTGGTCCAGATCCATCATTGTTTGAGCCCACAGTGATCTCTGAATGTAGGTGAACTACAACTCCAAAACCAAAGGACACTGCCCACCAAACCCTTCCAGTATTTTCTGTTGGTCATGGGAGAACTGTGTGCCAAGTTTGGTTCAATTCCATCGTTGGTGGGGTTCAGAATGCTCTTTGATTGTAGGTGAACTATAAATCCCAGCAACTACAACTCCCAAATGACAAAATCCATTTTTTTGAGTGAAGGACATACATTGGGTTGTTAGGTGTCTTGTGTCCAAATTTGGTGTCAATTCATCCAGTGGTTTTTGAGTTCCGTTAATCCCACAAACAAACATTACATTTTTATTTATATAGATTTATTTACAAAATTTCTATGCTGGCCTTCTCATGCCGAAGGGGACTCAGAGCGGCTTACAAGATATATATACATACAATATATTAAATTATTAGCATAGTACAATATCAGTATTAAATATTACTATGTTTTACTATACCATTATATTGTAATACTATTAATATTACATGTAATATAAATATATAATTATAATATCATATTAATATTATTAGTATTATATTGCATTACATATTTCTCCCCCTTGAAAGTGAGATTCTACAATATGCTTCAGCCCAACCATAGTAGTAGTAGTAGTAGTAGTAGTAATCTATATAAATAGAAATGTAATGTTCGTTTGTGGGATTAACATAACTCAAAAACAACTGGACAAATTGACACCAAATTTGGACACAATACATCTGTCAGGCCAACGAGTGACCATCACTCATAAAAACACTGAAAAACACAGCAGGAGGGACTTAAAAAGCCAAAAAACAAAAATTACATTACAATGCATGCGCAAAACCACACATATATACGCAAACACACATGTACACAAATATATATACACACAAAACACATATACACAGACTGGGCAACAGCAAGGTGTGGCAGGGGATGGCTAGTAATAATAATAACTTTATTTATAGACTGTCCTCTTTACTTGAGGGGACTCAAGGCGGTTTACAAGCAAAAAGGCCAACATTCAATGCCGTAATCAAATTCAAACACATCAAAATAATACAAAAATACAAAATAACATAAGTAAATTTACGACAGTTTAAAAAAATTAAAGTTAAAATAAAAAAAGAATACAAATGCTCAAATAAAACGTAATTACACTAATCACACGAAACACATTAAAAACATGTACGCTGGGCTATTAAATGACTAAAATGCATAGAGAATGCCTATCAGTTGTGCTTTAAAATATATACCATAGCAGCCACAGGATACATATGATTTATTTATTTATTTGCGACATTTATATGCCGCCCTTCTCATCCCAAAGGGGACTCAGAGTGGCTTACAAGATATATATACATACAAGATATGTGGTCCACACTCTGGTTACATCCCGTATAGACTACTGCAACGTTCTCTACGTGGGGTTGCCTCTGAAGACTGCCCGGAAGCTACAACTAGTCCAATGAGTGTCAGCCAGATTACTAACAGGAGTGGGGTACAGGAAGCATACTACTCCTCTGCTGTGTCAGCTCCACTGGCTGCCAATCAGCTTCCGAGCACAATTCAAAGTGCTGGTGTTGACCCATAAAGCCCTAAACGACTCCGGCCCAGTTTACCTTTCAGAACGGATTCTTCCCTATGAACCATCAAGGTTATTAAGATCTTCTGGAGGGGCCCTGCTCTCGGTCCCACCACCCTCGCAATCACGTCTGGTGGGGACGAGGGACAGGGCCTTCTCGGTGGTGGCCCCTCTGGAACTCTCTCCCGCTGGAGATTAGAACTGCCCCTTCTCTCCTAACTTTTAGAAAGCTGGTGAAAACTTGGCTCTGGAATTTAGCATTTGATGACTGAGTCAATAACTCTTGACCACACAGACGGATGGTGATGAATTGTAATTTCATTCTGATGACTTGGCCTTATGTAGTTATATGATTGTATTTTATTGTATTTTATGTATTAGTGTATTATGGGATGTGATGTTTTAAACTATTGTTTATGAATCTTTATTGTGAACCGGACTGAGTCCCTCTACAGAGGTCTATAAAAGATCTAAATAATAAATAAATAAATAAATAATATTATTAGCATAGTACTGTATATACCATTATATTGTAATATTATTAGTAATATTACATGTAATATAAATATATAAGTGTAATATCATATTATTAGTATTATATTGTATTACACCATTATATTATATTATATTATATTATATTATATTATATTATATTATATTATATTATATTATATTATATTATATTATATTATTATTTATTATTATTAGCCAGCATTCCAGTGAGATTGATTTGGGGTGTGCCAGTCCTCCTCCTCTCCATACGCTAAGGTGCATAAGTGCATTTTCAGAAGTGTTTTGAAGGAGAGGTGGGTAGGTGCCATTTTTATGTTTTTGGGTAGGGAGTTCCAGGCTTTTTAATAACTTGGAAGTCATAGAATCATAGAATCAAAGAGTTGGAAGAGACCTCCTGGGCCATCCAGTCCAACCCCCTGCCAAGAAGCAGGAATATTGCATTCAAATCACCCCTGACAGATGGCCATCCAGCCTCTGTTTAAAAGCTTCCAAAGAAGGAGCCTCCACCACACTCCGGGGCAGAGAGTTCCACTGCTGAACGGCTCTCACAGTCAGGAAGTTCTTCCTCATGTTCAGATGGAATCTCCTCTCTTGTAGTTTGAAGCCATTGTTCCGCGTCCTAGTCTCCAAGGAAGCAGAAAACAAGCTTGCTCCCTCCTCCTCTCACATATTTATACATGGCTATCATATCTCCTCTCAGCCTTCTCTTCTTCAGGCTAAACATGCCCAGCTCCTTAAGCCGTTCCTCATAGGGCTTGTTCTCCAGACCTTTTATCATTTTAGTCGCTCTCCTCTGGACACATTCCAGTCCCCCCCTCTCGTTCCCACCAACTTGTGATGTGGGTGGGACCGAGAGCCAGGCCTCCTTTGCTGACCGCAATGTATGAGATGGTCTATATAGGGAGATGCAGATTCTGCATCTATGGCTTTAACCATCTCTGTCATGGAATTAATTAATGGTATCTACAAGGGATCCTGGAACAAAATGCCAGAAGATACCAAGGGCCCTCTGAATCATAAAATAAAAAAAGTATTAATATTTCAGGAATGTGTAGTGTGAGAGGATGTGTACTGAGAAGTTCAGACAATTAACGTCTCCCAACTTGGTGTCCTCCAGATATATTGGTCAATTTGATGATGGAAGGAGTTGTCAGGAAATAACTGGGTTTGGAGGCCTGTTCCAGATACATAAATTGAGAATGGTGGCAGGTCCAGTGGAAATTGTTCCTTCATTGTGATTCATCTTCTCTCCTTGATGTTTCCCAGTTGATAACGCCACACGCCATCCGTGTCCAGACACCTCCTCGGCACATCCCTGGAGTGGTTGAAGTCACATTATCATACAAATCCAAACAGTTTTGCAAAGGAGCTCCTGGTAGATTTATTTATACAGGTAGGTGGACATAACTCTCTCCAAGCAATGCTCTCTTTCTGCCATCCTGCATGTTTCATGTTGTGTTGAAATGCTTTCTTTCCTTTTTGTTCAGCTGTCAGTGGAACAGTCATATTTTTTCTTGTTGTTTGACAACAGAGGTGGACACTTGTAGGAAGAGCAGTTTTTGCCTTTTTTGCCTTCATGACAGGCCATAGTTAAAGAAAAGGGGGAAAAAGCAACTTAGATCTAACTGGAGATCATGTCTGCTTTGCATTATTTCATTGTATCCTCCATTCTCCTTCAAAGCACCATTTGGAGATATTTCACATCATCTTATAGGATTTTCCACCTGTTGCTCGATAGGAAAAAGCAGGATAGGCAAGGAAGTACTTTTGCTAAGCTGGGTTGCTTTTATTCCTTTGTGTGAAATTTGAATTTATTTATTTGTTTATTTATTTATTTATTGGCTACTAGCTGCCCTCTGCCATGCATTGCTGTGGCTCAGTCTGTGTATATGTGTTTTTTGGGTGTATATATATATGTGTATGTGTGTGTGTATATATATGTGTACATATGTGTGTTTGTGTACATATCTGGTTCTGTTGTGTTGTAATGTATTTTTGTTTTTTGGCTTTTAAAGTCTCTTCTGCTGTGTTTTTATGAGTGATGGTCACTCGTTGGCCTGAGAGGTGTATTGTGTCCAAATTTGGTGTGAATTTGTCCAGTGGTTTTTGAGTTATGTTAATCCCACAAACGAACATTATATTTTTATTTATATAGACTAGCTATCCCCTGCCACACATTGCTGTGGCCCAGTGTGTGTATATGTGTTTTGTGTGTGTTTGTGTGTGTGTGCATTTGTGTATATGTGTATATGTGTGTTTATATATATATATATATATATAAGGTAAAGGTAGTCCCCTGACATTAAGTCCAGTCATGTCTGACTCTGGGGTGTGGTGCTCATCTCCATTTCTAAGCCGAAGAGCCAGCGTTGTCCGTAGACACCTCCAAGGTCATGTGGCCGGCATGACTGCATGGAGCGTTTTGCGCATGTGTTGTAATGTAATTTTTTTTTGCTTTTTAAGTTTCTTCTGCTGTGTTTTTCAGTGTTTTTATGAGTGATGGTCACTCGTTGGCTTGACAGGTGTCTTGTGTCCAAATTTGCTGTCAATTTGTCCAGTGGTTTTTGAGTTATGTTAATCCCACAAATGAACATTATATTTGTATTTATATAGATTATATTTCACAACAGTAATGGTTTGTGCAAGTGGTTTTCCACTTTGTTCTTTTACAATTAAGAGATAAGCAAAGATATGGCTATGTAATCATGGGATTTGTAGTTTGCTGAGGCACCAGTGTGACAGCGCGAGTGGCGCCACCTATGTGTAGAACTGTTAGTTACAAGATTTAAACTGTTGTATCATGCTTAATCCTGCCTTTTTACCCTGCTTATGTATAGTTGGATTGATTGGTTATTTATAGCTGTCAATCAGTGTTGTTTGCACCAGTTGAATTGCTTTCTCAAGCTCAATTGTTTGGCTCCACCTCTTCCTGGAGGAGGGGAGTGCTTCCCTCTTTTTCATTCTGCCATCAGAGTTTCTATCAGATGGACATGAGTAAGAGACTTGGCTCTAAAAGCCCATGCTTAAATTACCTCTCAGCACCAATTCTAAGGTTTTTTTACCCTTGGGACTCATGCTTTATGTCAGATCAACCTGGACAACATTGAGAAGTCTCAAGCGCCTTCAAACCAGTTCTTTGGCACCAGAGGAAGGCTTTGTGCCTTCAAAATATAGGCCATTGGAATTGGGGTTGTGATTATTCTGATATTCACAGCCATTGAGAAAGAGGGACCTGGAAAAGCTTCTCAGCTGCAAACTCCTTGGACTTCAGAGATTGTAAAGTATATTTCCTTTATCCCTGTTTAAACATCAAGCTTATGCCAGAGATAACTCTTTGTGAACAATAAAACTTATTTTGAGTTATCTACAGTGTTTTGGTCTTTGGGAGTTCCAGTTTCCTAAAGGAGGGCAAGAAGCAATCCCCTGGGGAAAGATATCATGTCCATGCCTCTTTCACTAAGAGCTATAGCCCCCAGGCGTGACGGCACAACCAGACCTCTTTGCCAGAGAAGGTTAAAGACCTTGTAAAACTACCACTCCCTGGATTCCATAGCATTGAGCCATAGCAGTTCAAGTGGGGTCAAACTGCATTAATTCTATAATGCAGATGCATTGTAATGTTAATAAAAATATACTATTGCCATTTGGTCAACCAAAAACCGATAGATAAGAAAATAGGTAAAGATCCTCTTTTCTCAGATTCACCCAAGATAAAAAAAAAAGTTTTCCCAACGTATGCTAGGAGACACAGCATAAAATTAGCAAGGGGGGAATTGAGCAATTTCTCATCCTCTCTATTTAAGTAGATCACAACAAGCAAAGTGATAAACACAACTATTAAGTGCAGCTGCACCTGATGTAAGCAATTCCCTCAGCTCATCTTGGCTGGTCGCAGGATTGTGTGGAGAAAAACACAGAACAATAACACAAGAACCTCCAAGCTGCACAATTAGCTCAGTGTGTTGTTTTGCTCCTCCAATCACTGTATTAGTGATGCTCAAAGCTTGTTATGATCATGGTAGGACTTTGAAAAGTGAGAGAAAAGGAGAAATAATCCCTCTGGATTGCTCCAGGTTGTTTTTTTTTTTTTAAAGAATGAAGCTGTTTTGTTTGATGAATCTGCAACTCATGATGTGAAATTGACAAAAAAAGGTCCAAAGAAAGGCTTGGATTTCACAAATAGAGGTTGGCTCTGTACTATAGAACTAGCTGTCCCCTTCCACGCGTTGCTGTGGCCCAATCTGGTGATCTGGAAAATAAAGTAATGAGAAAGTGTTGGTTTCTAATATATGTAATTTCTTTCTTGTGGGTAAACAGTATTTCTTGCTGTTTCTTTGTCAGTGTTGATGTGGAGAGTGTCTGGTTTGCCTACTCTGGAATATGCAACATATCATTGTCCTTCTTTAAGGGTCTCTTTCAAATCTGTGATACTATATCCGTGTGTGTATGAATCATATATATCTCTATCTATATCTATAGTTGGATGGCTCTTTGTCAGGAGGGCTCTGATTACATTTTCTTGCCCTGGTGAAGAGAGTTGGGCTGGATGGCCTTAAGTATTTTCTGTTGGTCAGGGGGGTTCTGTGTGGGAAGTTTGCCCCATTTCTGTCATTTGTGGGTTTCAGAATGCTCTTTAATTGTAGTGAACTGTAAATCCCAGTAACTACAAATCCCAAATGTCAAGGTCTATTTCCTCCAAACTCCATCTGTGTTCATATTTGGGCATATGGAATATTTGTGCCAAGTTTGGTCCAGATCCATCATTGTTTGAGTCCACAGTGCTCTCTGGATGTAGGTGAACTACAACTCCCAAACTCAAGGTCAATGCCCACCAAACCTTCCAGTGTGTTCTGTTTGTCATGGAAGTCCTGTATGCCATGTTTGGTTCAATTCCATCATTGGTGGAGTTCAGAATTCTCTTTGATTCTAGGTGAACTATAAATCCCAGCAACCACAACTTTCAAATGTCAAGGTCTATTTCCTCCAAACTCCATCTGTGTTCATATTTGGGCATATGGAATATCGGTGCCAAGTTTGGTCCAGATCCATCATTGTTTGAGTCCACAGTGCTCTCTGGATGTGGGTGAACTACAACTCCCAAACTCAAGGTCAATGCCCACCAAACCATTCCAGTGTGTTCTGTTTGTCATGGAAGTCCTGTATGCCATGTTTGGTTCAATTCCATCATTGGTGGAGTTCAGAATGCTCTTTGATTGTAGGTGAACTATAAATCCCAGCAACTACAACTCCCAAATGTCAAGGTCTATTTCCTCCAAACTCCATCTGTGTTCATATTTGGGCATATGGAATATTCGTGCCAAGTTTGGTCCAGATCCATCATTGTTTGAGTCCACAGTGCTCTCTGGATGTAGGTGAACTACAACTCCCAAACTCAAGGTCAATGCCCACCAAACCATTCCAGTGTGTTCTGTTTGTCATGGAAGTCCTGTATGCCATGTTTGGTTCAATTCCATCATTGGTGGAGTTCAGAATTCTCTTTGATTCTAGGTGAACTATAAATCCCAGCAACCACAACTTTCAAATGTCAAGGTCTATTTCCTCCAAACTCCATCTGTGTTCATATTTGGGCATATGGAATATCGGTGCCAAGTTTGGTCCAGATCCATCATTGTTTGAGTCCACAGTGCTCTCTGGATGTGGGTGAACTACAACTCCCAAACTCAAGGTCAATGTCCACCAAACCTTTCCAGTTTTTTCTGTTGGTCATGGGAGCCCTGTGTGCTAAGTTTGGCCCAATTCCATCATTGGTGGAGTTCAGAATGCTCTTTGATTGTAGGTAAACTATAAATCCCAGCAACGACAATTCCCAAATGACAAAATCAATTTTTTGAGTGGAGGACATACATTGGACTGTTAGGTGTCTTGTGTCCAAATTTGGTGTCAATTCCCCCAGTGGTTTTTGAGTTCTGATGGTAGCACTAACGAACATTACATTTTTATTTATATAGATTAATTCAGTTTGAACACACTCCAACTTCCAGGGCTTAATGCTATGGAATCCTGGGAGTTGCTGTTCGGTGAGTCAAACACAGAAGGCTAAAGAACTAATGATTCTCCAACTTCCAAGATTGAAATGGGGTCAAACTGTATTAATTTCACAGTGTAGATGGAACAGAAGAGCTGTTCACCAGTCGCATGTACCATTATACATTTTAGGGAGAAAAACATGCAGAAATATGTACACATTTCTCCCAATCTACTCAAGCTGTAACAAAGTTAGAGAACCTCAGTTAATATAAATTTGTAATATTTTCTCATTCCAAAGGAACTAGAGGGTTACAGAAACAGTGAGGACAGTTACAGAAGCACCTCTAAAGTGGATGAGTCAGTCATCAAATCAATCCTTATATCCACAAGTAGAACATTTCTGAA